TTTTTTTTTTGTTTTAAGAGCGTATTTGTATTCAACATTTTTTTACGCACACACCATTTTTCTGTTTTTTTCCTACATTTTATTTTTTAATGAATCTGACACATCTTCTGGAATAAATAAACGTTATGCATTAATGAAGCGGTCCTGAAATGATGGATTCAATGTCCATGCATGCAGTTTTTTTACTTCATGCGTTCATTTTCTGGGAAAAGTTTTTTTGGGAATTTTCGGAAAGTGACATTTTTCATACATTTTTTTCCGTTTCTTTTTTCCCAAACTCCCTTTTTTGTATTTTGAAGTTCTTTTTTCCCAATTTTTTGATGAAAAATTTTCATTCTCTTTTTGTAAACATCAAAATTTTCACATTTTTTGCGTCTGTTTGGCCATGTAAATATCAAATTAACGATCAAGGCACTCATTCTTTAATCACAGATTCTAGAAAATTATTATTGTAAATGCTTTCAGAGTGAGGACAATCTATGTGAAAAAAAGCTGTGCTTCGCCTACTGTGAAATTATTGGCGGTGTGGCGGACTCCGGGTTCTGTTTAAGGGAATTGCGGGTTTTTACATGCTCGGCGCGAGGATGGAGGAAAAGAAAAGGAGCAAAGCACGTCGAGAGAATTATAGTCCACTTGAGTAAGTTTATTTCAGTGCATTTTTAAGTACCGCATTTGTTGAGTTTTGCACGTACCACGTGCTTTTTCACGTAGGAATTATTCTAGTGAGCCTTTGAGGGGAGCAAAGATTATCAGGGGTAAATTTTTCTTGTCGTCAAATACGGTGGTCCACCGCAAATCAACTTCGAAATGCAGCCGAAGTACGGGATAGAGATTACTGATTCGAAATGACGTCGTGAATAGCCTCTGTACGGGAAAATTTTGCGCTCGGAGCAGCTGCGCCGAGAAAACCGACACGCAGACCAGATCCTAAAAAAACGTCCGGGTAACTCCTCAAAAAACCAGGCGCCCCACACTTCGCCAAGGCGACCACTCGTGTCCCCGCTGCGCGACCGCACAGCATGGTCGTCGATCACTATGTTGGTGTAATCCTGCGTGATTTATCATTGTCAAAACCGGTCGCAACGTTGCTGGTAATAGCACAGAGGGTTGAAAAATAAAGATATGAGGAATAAACGCGAGAAGTTGTCCTGTTCAATTATTGAGGCGGAATGGAAATTTCTTAACGGAATATTCGAAAAATTATTACTTAAATTCATTGAAAGTACACGTTCCACGTTTGTGCTTGCGTGAAAATTGTTGGTGCAAAATCGAAATATCTTGGCCGGGGCTTAGAAAAATTTTGTGATGATCAATTAGCAGTATTTTTTCCAGAACAAAAGAACGACCGAAAAAGACGGGTGTATTTGGCAAGAAGTCAAAAAATAAGAAAAAGAAAAAAGGAAAAGAAACAACAGAAAAAAAGGAAACGCCAGCTGTTTCGCCATTCACAGGTTACTTTCATTGCTTATAATTGTTTTTTGTAAAAAATATTTAACAAGTTTTGCTTGTGTATTTCATACTTGGAATATTTGAAATTAATTGTAATTCTAGTAGTTTGGCTGTCTAACTATGTATTTGACAAATTTTGTACTTTTTTGACCGATATTGCATCGCCTGGTGCTCAGTATTTCCTACTTTTTTGGTCGTTTCTTTCCTGGAAAGGTTATTAGCTGTTTGGCTTAAATTGCTTTTTTTAAGGGATTTCAACTTTTTTATAAAAGAAACATTTTAAGTTCTGTGTGTGTGTTTTTTTTTAATTTTCAGTGCCGATAGAATTGATGCTATTTTTGTAAATTACAGGAGAGCATGGAATATTTGGCGTTCCTTTATCGCTAGCAGTTTTACGTATGGGCTGCCATGATGGTGTTGCTTTGCCGGTTGTCGTTAGACAGTGCATCGATTGCATAAATGAAGAAGGTATTTTTTTGTAAAAACAATGCTTGTAGTCCTCAGTAATGTTAGGATGCGACCTCACGTTTGGAGACGTAACGATCCTAGTCTCTTCTGCTCATAGGCGGATCCAGGACGGACTCCCGGGAGAGAGAGGAGGCAACAAGTGGGGAATAGGGCTCCTAGGGAGGGGCGGAGGAAA